TATCTATCTATCTATCTATCTATCTATCTATCTATCTATCTATCTATGTGAACATACTTATACACATTTATAGCCGGTTTTAGAATAAAAATATATGCTTTTATTTTCTTTGTTCTTTTTAATTACAATTGCACATAGCATAGATAGAGGGAACTCTCACCAATACAAAACTAAGCAATTTAATCCTTGAATCTTTGTATACAGAAAACCCGGTAATGTGTAACAGTTTTGCTCAGACTATTCTCCCAAGGAAAATCGATTTGGGGTATTTGTCTCTCAGAGAGGACCACTGCACAAAGAAATAGTCAGAAACCAGATAGAGGATCTTCCCTGTTAACGACAGCGTCTGCACACGGCAAATGCTTTCCACATACACGATCAGGACTTTCTTCATTCCCAGAATTCCGAGCAGTAGTGCTGCCACACACAGAGGAACACAGGTCCCCGGGCCATTACACAGCACCTGAAACAACACAATCACAGTGACAAACACATCGGAAGCGATACTTTCCAGGACATCTGTGACATAACTAAATTGTCACATGACAGAAACGGCCGGGGGAACATTTGTTTGTCCAAAAAAGTTCTCTGTCAAATCTCTATATGTGCGGAACAAACTATTTCTCATTTTTATTTTAAACACACTTCTCCATGCTTTATGCTATTTAATAATAAAAATACATTTAATATTTAATTTAAAAAATCCACAACCTGATTTTTTAAGCAGATTTGTTTGCAAAGGATTAGTTTGAAATAAATCTATAAATGAAATCTATAAATAAATCGTACGTTCTAAGAATTATCATAAAAGTAGATTGCAGGAACTCAAAGTTTGATCAATCACTTACTCTTAAAGACAATAGCGGTAGTCAGACCCAGGAATTAAAAACAGGTAGTGGATGTATGTGATGTTTTCAGCAGACACACTCAGCCCTTAAGCCTTTTATAATAAGTCAATCAAAACAGAAATAACAAAGCAAACTGGATTGAAAAGGACAACAAAGGAAGTTCTGCCCTCGTTTGTTACACATCTTCTGATTTTGAGGATAGCGTTAGAGAGCGGTGAGCTGGGCTTTCCTACACACGTGTTGACTATGTGCTGTAAAACTAAGAAAGGCTCTGTGGGCGTGAGACAACGGCCCAGTGAGACTGAGAAGTTAGAGGGGGGAGGGGCTGAAATGAATAAGTGGCCTGGGGCCAGAGGCAGACTTATGGAGTTGGGGAGTTTGGGTTCACAGGAAACCAGACGGAGCCGCTCTGGAGTCTGGAGAAGTCATCACACAGCTAAACCAGAATCCTCTGCACGCTACTCCAGAGACTCGCCGTGCCCTCTGCATTTACAAACCACCACAGATTTATCATTTCAGAAGGTAAATAAAAGCCCTAAAAGCCCGGCAGCAATGCTCAGAGTCATTAGGCCCCATCAGCCGCACGCACAGCTCCGAACAGCTTGATAAATGGACCGTTTCTGTCTTCTGCCTTTGTTTATGAGGTAGGTTTCTGTTCCCTGGCAAAGCAGGCCAGAACCTGTCTTCTGAGAAATCATGAAAAGAGTGAAAATGACACACTTCTATAAACTGTTTGAAGTTAATGAAACCAGACTGTGGTGGTTGTAACATAGAAGTAATAGAATCAGCCGATTAGCCACAAAATCTTAACCTTTTCCCAGTCAGATGCACATTTGCTAAATAGATTACTTTCCTCTCGATGTGTATCTTGATCATTCAATTAATTTTCGCACATTAGTTCACATTATTCTGAATCTAAACTTGTGTTTATGCCATTTCAGCTGAATTTTTCGCTGTTTCTCTTTGGATCAGATAACATCTGTGCTTAATAATACATAATAATACCGCTGCATTCATAAATACATCATATGAGTTAATGACATACTTGTCTATTCAAGTGTGTTAAGAAAAACACATCACTAAGAATATTACACAGTGGCAACCATATTTTGCTTCGGGGGCAGAGAGGACTATAGTACAACATAAAAATTGAGCGCAGCTAAAATAATATTTTAAAAAATCTTCATTGACTTATGAGAGCTACACAGACTCTGTAAATTGTCAAAGCTTTGATGGTCTCAGACAGAGTCCCAGTGATTACTTCTGAGTCTGGTGCAGATATCCTCCTCCACTCTGGTTGGAGCGAACTCCCACTTCCACAATGTACAAATCATTTACTTTAAAAATCTAGCAGTTTTTCCTTTTGCTGAAGACTGAGCGTTAAGTATTGTAGGTGTGTCTGGAACTGTCACTCTGCTAAATCTGAGCTGTGGAACCGGGGTACCGTGTTATTTTGGAGAGAGAAGATATTCTCCTGGAAAGTTTTTCCAAAAAAAGCCATTCTTTTTAAGTCATTTTCACATTTTACTGACAGGCCTCTGTCCGAGCACCACATGGTGCTCGGACCTAAATGACCTAAATAAAAACCTAAATGGACATATTTTAAACTGGTGAATTACCCTCCTCAACTTTGGAATGACAGATTTAATCTTGTTTGGAAACATAATTCAATCAAGTGTTAATCTGTTACTTGTCCTCCATGTTGCTGTGTGTTTCTACACACTGTTTCTACATAAGTGATGTAGTTTTTTTTAGAATATGCCTTTTTAAACCTAATCCAGGATCTGAAAAGGACGGAATGTGTGTGTATATGGTTTCCTTATAATGTGTAATGTAATGTGCAGATTCATTTAAATGCGTTTCAGAAGGGAAGTATTGCTGTTATGGCATCCCGTGTAGATTTTCTGAGTCTTGGTGCAAAGGCTCAGCATTCGTTAGAAATAAAAAGCATTGCAGGCAAACTGAGAAAAGCTTATTTTTCTGAGCACTGTGCCTTTTTTGTGCATCTGCCCAAGCATGTAAGGTTTTAAATATCTGATATTTTCAGAAAGACACAAGGTTTCTTTAAAGAAAAGCTTTAAAACTGGCTCTTAACTGTAAAAGCTACTGACTCAAATGAAATATCCTGTTTGCTCACGTATTGTGTTGCACATATTTATAGCAGAGACAGACAATCCAGTACAAACATGCATTTTAGCTGATGATTTTCCTTTTAACTATCCCCCAGAAATTGGGCAAAAGGTGTGACTGTGTGTTTACGCCACCCACCATGTCAGGTCTGAGTCTGAACACCAACGGGAGGGAGTATCGCAGGGCCTTGAGGGTGCTGAGAACAGAGGAACTCCAAGACTGATGGACCTCCCTGCTTCGTGGGATCCGACAGATGGTAAACTGAATGTAAACAAACAAACAAAACTAAATAAACCTTGTTGTATCGGAACAAGAGTTATCAGCAAGCTAGCTACCTTTACCATTCGGTCAGTCCGAGGTTCTCATAGCGCTGAAACCGTTAAAAAAGAAAATATGTGAATCCAGCCTCCTGTATGAAAGCAGAACACATACATTCTCTGTTTCGATTACCAAAGCTTACCCTTTAACCCTTTTTTACCCAGTGAGCTCCAGTTCCTTTCTTGCGTATCATTTTAATGCTGCTATAAACGTTCTTATTTTTTTCCCTCTAGTGTTCCGCAAAAATGGAAAAAATACATTACACTATTTGATTAGGATTGGTGGATCACAAAGCCAGGTTAAGATACGCCCGGTAGCGGTCTCAAATGTATGTTTGAGGTGGGAGCTTCTCATGCTACTATTGATGTGGTTGGTCCTTTGGCTTTGTCTTATTTTTCACTTACTTTCTCTTCATGCTTATTCGTTTATTTTTAGTGTTTCAACAATGTTGGTTTGCCACCCGAGATTTAAATACATAAAGCACTGCATATATCACACCACATCATAATGGAGAATTTAGCATTTTCATTTAAATATTACAATTAAGCCCTCCGGAAGAAGGCCTTTTTATACACTGTTAACTAATCATTAGGTGGATTTTAACGAAAACCAAGGATAGAACATAAAACTAAAAGAACACTACTGTTGAATGGCAAATGGGAGAGCTTTTATGAGCTCAGAGTATGTGATGGAGAAGCATAAAGAAAGCTTTTCATGCAGCATCTAAAAGCAAAGCTTTAATAATTGTTTTTTGGAGAAACGTGTGATTGGTGTCACGGACATTATTCAAAACCTTAACAGTTATCGAGCTATGTGGGCTGGTTCAGAATAATTTAACTTACTGTAATCCCTATTTTGTCCATACTGGGATGGTTTATTGGCTAGCCTTGGTCTGTCTGTGCTGTGCTTTGGATATAATTTAGACCACAACTTCCTAAATGTAAATATGATGCAACTTTCCTCTTATCGAGATGTATCAAGATGTCCCCCATTGTAGATAAAATAGAGAATATGAATAGAAATATGTTTGACTCTATTTCAGTAATACTTAAACTAATGTAGGGACACATTTTGTACATGGACAAAACAAAGTTTTTTTTTGCAACAACACACCTGTGATTCCGCATTTGACTGCTTAGATTTTTCAAAGGCGCAGATTTTTTCCTCACTCATCCTGTCCGTGTCCGCAACGACATAGTGCACCGGTGTGTAGGCCGCCGATAAGCATTCCATCAGACGCAGGATCTCTGTGGTGTGCCCACCTAGAAAAACAAACGAGGACATGGTTCATTTACTCCCGAGCACAGCTGGCAGCTCCGGCGTTCTCTTCGGGGATAGCGGCATTCAATGATGTGGCTTTTGGCTCGAGGCGTCAAAAATCCAAACCACAGCCCGACTGCGCGCAGGCCAAAACAACGCACTCATTCAAAGGGGGCACACACACATCGTAGCAAAAAAGACAGCAATAAAATGAAACAGACCAACTTACTGTTTGTGTTCAGATACTGTGTTGTACATAGAAATAGTAGTGAATGCGTAAAGTGTACAAATATAAGTGATGATGGGCAGTTTGTACCTATAATTTCTACATGGCTTTTAGAGGTGTAAAAAAACAAAAGTACACTTTTAATTCTAATGATAACTGAAGTTATGCATTAACGGGGTGTTGGGTTTATCATCATGTATACAACTGACTTCTTTTAAAGGAGCAGTCTTTTCCTAAGTCCAGGTCTGTAAGACACTTTAGATGAGGCTGTAGGGCCGTCTTCTTTTCTCAAGTCCTTATTCATTTCTCAGAGCATTTATCCCTAACCACATTACATTTACAGTAAAGGAAAAGGCAATAAAATAACAAGGTTCAAATTGGCTTTGGATTCACAAATTCATTGCATTTTGTGCTGTCTGGTCACACTAAACAGGGTCCTGTTTGGCAACTACTGTAGCTACGTGGCTCAAATCTGGATGGAAATATTCTAAATAGTTTATAGATTAATTAAAAGCTTGTTTGGGATTTATGAAATGTTTTTCTCCTTTGTAAAAATGCAGAACAGGGCCATTTTACTGTTTTTTGTGCAGTCTGGTCACACTAAACTGGGTCCTGTATGGAAATACAGTAGCTATAATGCTCAAATCTAGATCTAATTATTGTAAATATGCAGTAGATTCATTAAAGGTTTGTTTGGAATTTGTGAAACTGTTTTCTGATTTGTGAAAATGCCAAACAGGGCAATTTTACTGTTTTCCCCCCCTTTTTTTTGCAGTCTTGTCACACTAAACTGGGTCCTGTATGGAAACTACAGGTTGCTGCATATGCATTCAAACACACCCAAATCTCAATGTTCCATGGCTTAAATTATGCAATCTTATTATCTATCACCCAGCAGTGGTTTATTTCCCATAAATTACAGATTGAAGGAAGGAAGAACTCTCATCCAGTCCAAACCCTGCTTTTAGCATCATAAACAGAATCTACCAGCTATCGCTATGACTACAAAATGTATTTTTCCTTCTTCATCTTCTTCTTTTTTACAATTTTACCAGGTAGGGCTGTCAGTTAGCACAAAGTCAGAGTGTGTTTTGATCCATTTCAGTGTGACAACAGCAGAGACCACAGCAGAATCTGAATTTGGTTAGCATAGCTAGCATAAGTTTCCGGGCTGAACATTACCTGAACCCGCAACAACGAGAACAGCCACCGGACCTTTCCTGCCAGGCTTGTAGTTTGGCCCTGACTTCACAACTGCCCATAAACGAACAATAAATAACAGACATATGGACAGAAAAGCTACACCGGCTCCCACCAGGACATCCATGGTAGCTACGATAGCCCAGTGTGGCCAAATCAGACAGTTCGCGTTTTTCTTCTTCGTTGTTTTTGGGTAGTGACTACATCAGCTCTAGACTGCGCTGCTGCCACCATCTGGACAGGATCTGGTAACTGACCACAATTTTAGCTGGCGTGCCTAAAACAACTACCACGCTTTTCCCTTTTTCTCACTAAAATGATTTGACAAAGAAAAGTCAAGATCATTTGCCGACCTTATTGATTGTGATCGAAAACTTGCCTTTTCCCCTAAACTGTATTTGCTGTTTTTCACAATCTGTTTAGCTGTTATGGTGGTTACAGTGAAGTAATTCTCTATCACAATGTTAGTTCAATGCCCATCTCGTCAGTCACAACCCCACCTGTTGCCCAGTGAGGACCCAAGTGGGAATAAGCAGCACAGACAATGGATGGATGCACTTTTAGCCTTTCTCTTTTATTGCAAGTTGACCAGCACAATTAGCATTAAAAAAGAAAAGACATAAATACACAAACCAGTAAATAAATGACATTTCTATGACCATATCTATGTAGAGTGCTTAAAAATGCCATATGCAAACTAGCTAATACAAATCCAATAAAGTGCAAATGCTTTACCAAAGTACCTGTGTCATTATTCAAATGCATTATTACCAATTAAAATGCCCTATTACCCCACCCCACTTTGAACACCACACTCATCTTTCCATTTGGAAATGTATTTATCTATATATATATGAAGTCATGAGAAGGGGAAAAGATGTTAGAACAACAATAAACAACGTTTCCAGTTGTGTATGAAATAATTCAGAAACCTAGTTTGAGGTGAATATAAAACTCTTGAAGTAATAGCTGAGGATATTTTTCATTTTAACCTTTTAACCTTAATTCTGAGTACAACACCATTCTATAGAATGTGATATAATATAATAGAATGTCATATGATATAATAGAATGTCATATAATATAATAGAATGTCATATAATACAATAATATAGAATAATATACAAAATGACAGAATATTTTCTCATTTTTTTGTTTATTAATAGCTATAAAAGAGATTCTATGAAAGGCGGAGGCTGCTTACATCCTAATTTCCCCACAGGACGTGAAGGCAGCGTGGAGCCAGGCAGTGGAGGAGGATGTGGAGCATCAGAGGGAAGATGGGCTGCGAACAGGACGTTTCTGCGCTGGCGCTGTCCCTCCGTGCGTTCCAATGACAGGTGAGTGCCATCATCCCTCCTCCGTCCCGGCCTCCGCCTCTCTCCGGACAGTTCCCTCTCCCCTCCAGGCCCCTCCAGGTCCCTCCGGGCCCCCCTCTAGGCTCACCGCCATCTGCGTCCCTCTCCCGGCCGTTCCCCGGCGCCACAGGTGCGCGCGTCCGAGCACGCACATCCATGGTGCCCTTCAGAGCGGAGCTGCGTCAGCCAGCAGACGCGCGCTGGTGCTGATGCTGCTCCGGGAGAGCGGATGCTGCTCTCAGAGTCAGGGCAGCCCGTCGTGGGCATTTGCAGATGGAGACATTCGAGGGGGAAAGAAATCGTAACCGTGTTTGACGCGTGTGAGCTTTTTTTTTTTTTTAAGGCAGAACAGTGGAAACATTTGGCAAACGTTTCATACGTCTGGGTGCTGTTTAATTTTAAAATGGAGGTGGCTTCCCTATGAAAGCCCTATTGTTGTTATTAGTATAGTCATTTCGTCCTATTTCCCTTATTGTCTCTTCGCCCTTATTAGTAAAATGGCAGATGTAAATGCCTCTGTTTTTTTTTCTTCCTGCAAAAGCCTGGGTTAGCAACTGAATTAAGGAAATGATCTCCACATATAGTGTACCTCTGTCTCTATTGGTTAGTATTACAGGAAGGCAGTGCTCATTAGTCAGATGGTCAAATGATGTGCAACTAGTCATCTTTTATATTTATATTATATTTTATATTTTACATTGCAGTTAAATTGTAAAACAACATTGAGAAAGAAAATAATGACATTGAAATAAGCAGATTATTCCCAGTTTTGGGCTGTACTGGGATGATCTGATGGCAGCCCCAGGGTTCCTGGTCCGATCCAGGACTGGCTGGACTTTGCTTTTTTCTCATTGACCATGTTCTCTGTGGCTTCCTCCCACTGTCCAAAAACACAAAGTGACCTTAGGAGTGAGGGCTGGCCCTGTGCTGGGCAGCCCCCTCCTGGTGAACAGGAGTAAGTGGAACATGGACAAACTTCTTTTTACCAACTTAGTACTGGTCTGGCTGTTGGGGGTGTTCGGAGGTGGATGGAAGACAATATTTTTGCAACTGCCCATTTTTAAGAATGTTGTGTTATTAGATTCAGAATCAGAAACACATTAATAA